GGTTCGAGGCTGCGGGCCCGCCCCGCGCACGCGCAGCTCCGCGCCCAGCTCCGCGCCGGGGCTGCGCCGGGTCCTCTCCGGGCTCAGCGCGGCCGCGTTTCAGGGCTTATGAAGAGCTGAGCACCTCCGAAGGTGGCTCCTCCGATGGGGAAGTACTTGTTTCTGTGATAGCTGGTGACTACAGTGGACGCTTTGCCTCCACCACAGCCCCTCCACCCCCGCCTTGAAAGGTTAGCCCCGCGGGAGTGGAGCAGGCTAAGTACCCATCTCGGAGGGGCGAATAAAGAAGAATTAAACGTATTAAATGGGGATGGGGATGGCCAAAGGGAGGGGCTACACAGCCCTGAGCCCAGGGGCACTGGGTCCCTGATGGCAGACCTGGGACAGTGAGACAGAGCATGGGAGCAGCAGCGGGAGAGCCCAGGCTGGGCTGCTCTGGCTCAGAGAAGTCAAGGGGGCGAGCCCAGGACAAGCTGCTGCTGCCCATTGCTCCCCTGTTGCAGGTCTCGGGGTCTCGGAGGGATGGAGATGGCATGGCGCTGGCATGTTCCCCCAGGGGGACTCCCTGGGGAGCGGGGAAGAGAGCTGGTGCCTTGTCCTGAGCCTATTTATCTCTTGCAGGTGGAAATCTGAAGGGAGGTCTCGGGGGAGGGCCTCAATAGAACATTCATCAGCTCTCAGGTGCCCTCTTTCAGGGTCCTGGTCTCCGCGGACTGGGTGGTGCCAGGGCAGGGTTATTAGTGTATCTGGTCTTGAGTCAGCCATGGTGCCACTTGTCCGGTTTCCCTGCTTATCTGGGCCTGGAGCTGAACTACCACCTAGGCCTAGGTCTAAACCTCAGGGGGTCTAGCTGCATGACCAGCCGTATGCTGGGGAAGATAGGTTACCCTGGGGACAAAGTTCTTGTTTTCCCAGTTCGGCCCCTTGCGAGGTGAGTTTCTGTACCTGGCCCACCTAACACATTTCTTTTACACTATGTCTACCAAGGGCAGTTTGAAGAGAGTATCTTTTACGTATGACTGATGAGATAGACAAAGGATGAAACGAAAGAGTCTTAGAGGACTTCTGAGTTAAAAAATATATTTTTAATATTAAATTTTAAGTTTATATATATTTAATGATAAATATATAAAGAGAAACTTGGCAGAATTACAAAGAAAAAACATATGATCATATTGGGTGATTTTAACACCTTTCTCAGTGGTGGTTAAGCAAAAGAAAAATCAGTAGAGATACAGAAAGTTTGAATTACACGATTTACAAACTTGACCCAATAAATATACACAGAAAAACAACCAAAATCAGAATGTACATCTTTTTTGAAACAAACACGACATTACCCCAACTAACCACACACTTAGCTGTAAAGCAACTCTCAACAAATTTTAAAGATGAAAATCATTCAGCACATTTTTTTTTACCACAATGCAGTTAAGCAAAAATCAATAAAGAACTACAATAACAAGTCCATATAACCTGTAGTCGAAGAAAGAGTTGTCATGGTAGCAAGAAAATATTTTGGGCTGAACAATAAAATACAAGAGATACCTGTGAAACGAAGTAAAGCGATACGTAGAGGGAAATTTATAGCCCTAAGTAAGTATATTACAAAAGACTGAAAGGCCTTTAGCTAACATATCCCTTTTCAAGATGTTAGGAAAAGGAGAGCACATTGAAGAAAGGAGGGAAATAATGTAGAGAGCAGAAGCGGATAAATGGGAAACCAAGGCAGAGCCTGTGCTTGCTCGGGGAGCCAGCTGTGCACACCTCGTCCCAGTCCAATCCCTGGTCAGTGACATCAAGTACGTAGTTGAAACTGCCCCGGGTGGGGGGATTCACCCCATGGAAATCAGCAGCTAGCTACTCTTCTGTTGTATTACGTTCAGGGCCAGCTCCCTGCCACAACACTGCATGTAACAGATCCACAAAATCCCAAAGTTGATGTTTTGGGGGAAGAGACCAATAAAGTTTACACATATCTGGTAGTATTGAGCAATAAAAGGAGAAATGTTAACAACCTATATCAGTAATGAAAACTATCCTTTAGAAATCAAAAAAGAACATCTTATAAACAATTTAATGTAGATAAAATACAGATGACTAAAAATGTCAAGAAAAACAAAACTAGCTGACTTGAGAGTAGAAAATATGAATAGTCCTAAAAGATTAAGTAGTTTGAATTAGTAGAAAAGAATTTTCATACACGAATTCCAGGTCTGTGACTCCACCAGTAAGTTCCTGTAACTTTGAAATAATTCCATTCTTACTGTATGAGGCAACCATAACTTTTGTACTAATTACAAAATCCCCAAACCTCTGAAACACCAAACTCTTTGGGATTCATTTGGCAAAAAATGTGACTTAGTGACATGTTGGTCCAGGGATTTCATATAAATACATGGACCTGTACGGAATGTTTTTTATGACTTTGGGGTTGAGAAGAATTTTTTTACCCATAAAGGAGAATATCAATAAATTCGATTACCTTAAAATTAAGTGGAAAGGACAAAAACCACAATGTGGGTGACATTTTCAAAACATATAATGAAGAATTAGTACCCAAAATATATAAAGAATACCTGCAAAGCAATAAGAAACAGACCGCCTAATTTTAAAAACAGGCAAAGCGCAGCCCTAGCCAGTTTGGCTCAGTGGTTAGAGCATCTGCCCACAGACTGAAGGGTCCTGGGTTCGATTCTGGCCAAGGGCACGTACCTGGGTTGCAGGCTCAATCCCCAGCCCGGGTCTGGGCACATACAGGAGGCAACCAATCAATGTTTCTCTCTCTCTCCCTTCCACCCTCTCTGAAAAGCAATGGGAAAAATATCCTCAGGTGAGATTAAAAAAAAAAAAAAATAGGCAAAAGGCTTAAATAGGCACAGGACCAAAGAAGAAATACAAATGACCAACATAAAAATATGCATGTCCTTATCAGTAACCACAGAAAGGGACATAAAAATGACAATGCAATACTGTTAGGCACCCACCCGACCAAAGAACGAGTCCGACAGAAGCCAGCTTTACCAAGGATGGAGAAGGAGACCCTCATACAGGGTCGGCGGTGTCACCTCGGAGAGCGGCGCGGCACCGAGCAGCCAGCTTGAGGAGCAGCGCCCACCGTGACTCCGCCGGCCTGCAGAATCTCTGGAACCCGCGCATCTTGATAGCAGCTCAAACCAGCACTCAACCCAAACATCGCGACAGTAGAAAGGACACAGGATGGTCCAGTCATACTGTGAAGTGACGCAGCAGCACCAAGGAGCGAGTGACAGCCATTTTCGGAGACATGACAAACCTCAATACTGCGTGAAAGCAGAAGGTCAACCAAAGAACACAGACCACGGGTTTCCACTGAGCGCAGGTTCAAGCACTGGCGAGACGCAACTATATTGTTCAGGATACGTACGCAAGTCGTGCAG